AGGGTTATATATCAATGATCTTTGCATTTACTGCTTTTGATGCTTTTCTAATTTTTCCCTGGTTTTCTCCAGAAGTATAGAGCCCAGCATTGGTGTCTTTGACCCTGCTTGATACTTATTATGGCGTGAGACTGTCTATCCTCCTTCATGGTCAGGGTCTGCAACATGAGGAAAAGTAATCCTTGTGAGGATGCCCATTTGAGGAAAATCATCCTCTCTATCTTATTCTTCATGAGACTAATCAGGGTGATGTTTGGGAGGGACCTGGCCATTTCCATTCCTGTACACCCCCTTCTTTAGCTCCTAAGTTCCACAGTTTGGAGACAGGAATGGGCTTTCTGATCTAGTCACATACAGGGCTCTGAAGGGCCGCAACAGGATTTTGCTTGTTTACTAACACTTCCAATTTGTGTAGGAGTTGACATGCTACCCTTATGTGTCATATAAGAACTTTTTGAGAGTGGAATTGATTTAGTTACATACATTTTTCAGTTTCTTTCCTCTAAGAACTCTTCTTCATCTTTGGTACATTGGTGTATGTGCATGCTCACATGTTCTAATAAGAACATCCTTCCCTATTTCTAAACACTTTTTTTTTGTTTGTTTGAACCATGTGTATATTAGTGGATCCTTAGAATTTGCTGATACTTTATTGTGAGCATTATAGTTGATGTTAGTTTACAGGTATCTTCTTGGTATCTGTTTCTAAAGGATTCTGGAGAGCAACACTTTATTTTTACCCTTTAGTGTTGTCATGGGGTTATCACTGAAGTTCTGAGTCTTTTTCCTGACTCTTCCATTTCGCTGTTATTTTTCATCTAAATATATTTCATGCTGTTGATCATCAAAAGCCTATCAGCTCTTTGGCTGTACCACTTCCCAGATGTGTGACATTGGGAAACTTCCTGCCTGAGCTTATCTGAAAAGTGGAATCATGGCACCTACTTTACAGAGTTCATGGGAGACTAAATGAGATAATTCATGCTTAGCACACTGCAAGTCCTCAGTACAGTTTGTTATAATAAAGGTGAGCACAGGCTATGAGAATGTTAAGGTCAGGACTAACTGCTCAGATCACAAAAAACTCCCAAGTGGTTACCAGGCCAGGAGTTAGCTAAGAGGAAAAAGGGAAGAGGTTGCTTCACGAGGAAGGCTGTAGCCTATCACAAGTCGTAGGGCATGAAATATGGGGAGGCAAGATGGAAGGGGGGGTGGGGCACAGATCAGAGAAGTCTTGTTTTACCAGGCTCAGGGACTCCCATTGAATTCTGGGGAAATGGTGACCCACAGAAGAATTAGAAATTATGTCACTGGACACATACTGACTTGTGGAAATGAATTCTACAGGGTCCAAAAGAGACATGGACACCTATGAGTCCATGTCCCAAGAGTTCCCAGAGGATGGAGAATGTTAGGATGGACAGAGGAGGGCAAAAGGACAGGCCAGCACTGTGTTTCTATCGGATGCTTTCTTTTAAGTTCAAGGGCACATGAAATAAAGCTAAAGAAAGGTCTGTTGTGCAGTGACTCCTTTTGAGAAGGTGAAGTAGATAGTCTGCTGTGTAAATTTCTAATATGGAGAAAAATCTGCTGAAGAAGTGTTCCCTGTAGGAACCTGTGTGCCCGCCATGGTGCAGATCTGCTGGCCTGTGCAGGGAAAGACCTGTTCTCCAGCACCCTGTGATCGAAAATCTTCTTTTCTCATAGCATATGATACAACTATGATTCTTTTTTGGGCAGTTTTCTTTTGATTAACTTTGTGTCTGGAATTGCACGTTTTCTTTTTGACTATTGTTTTCTGATCATTTTTCTCAATGGTGGTTAGCAATAGAAATGGAAATAAACCAGAAAATGATATACATGAAAAGGAGTCTCCTCCTCATCTTGAATACATGCATATAAACAAGAAAAATGAAGAAGAGTAATGAACTTGCTGTGCTTGGGATAGAGTGTTTTGCTGTGCTGTTTGGAAGTGTAAATGCATGTCCTGGTGATAGCCAACTGTCCGAAGTGAGTGTTGGCTTTCTGGAAGGAAGAGACATTTCCTGGTCACCTTGTCTGGCACTGCCTCACTGCTAGAGAGAGTTTTTGATGTTGCAGTGCTGTAGTAAAAGGAAACTTGTATGTTTCTAAGAACAGATTGTTAGAAAGTGAGTTTCTCTGAAATGCTTAAGCAGAGAGCATTTATTATATGCTGAAAGGGTTTGATTCTTCACCCTTCCCAAATATAGCCTTGATGTTGAAGACTTGAAGAGAAGAAAGAAGGTAACTGGTGTTGGTCCTGCCTTCCTGCCCTAAACACCTCAAAGACAGGCCATCCATCTAGGAGGCCACTGGCAGTGGACAACAGGCAGCCAGGTCTGTGATCCTTGAAAGAAGAGCACCCCATGACGGGGACTCAAGCCTGCCCAGGGTTTCTACTTGTGCATGTTCCCTGCCAAGATACAGGGAGGTGAGTCCTAGCAGAACATGTGGTCTCCTGGAATTGAGAAGGTGGATCTCAGAGTTCAGCCGTGCTGTTGAGGCTGGAATTTGTATAGCGGGGTAGTGGAGAGAAGGGAGCTACCTGAGGGGTGAGACTTACACAGAGTGGTGCCTGGCACAGAGCAGCTGGTACAAGGTAGAAAACAGATGGGTGATGCAAGAGGTCTTGTGTTAAATGGGAGAGATTGACGTTTTGGTTCACCCAATGTGGAGAGGTCTTGCTGAGCACCTTACCCATTCTGTTGAGACATCAGAAAGTCCACAACCTAGGAGTAAGGACCATACCTTAGAGGAAGGCCGTATGTGAGGACCAAGGATGTCTCTGAAATAGACCCATCTAACCAAGTAGAGAACCAAGCCTGACAGCATCCAGAGGATCCATCAGTAATTGAACTGCTGGCAGAATCAAATGGAAACCCTCTTAACTGCCTACCTTAAAATTGAAAAGAAGCAGAGAAACATGATTCATATTCAAAATGTAATCAGTAGAAATAGTGACTGTAGGACAGTGTTAAAGCAGATCTTGGTCTCTTGCACCATTCTTCCGTGAAAGTTCCCAGGGCTTTTTGGAGAACTGACTGCATGCAGGGCAGAGACAGGATAGGTAAAAGGTGAATGCAAAACTTTTATTTTTAAATGTGAGAAAGTAAGGAAATTTAAGAGTAAGAGAAAAAAAAAAGTGGAACATCTCACAAAAATACAGAAGCCAGCTTGTAGGGGCTCCCACTGGCTAAATCTGAGACAGTTTGAGTTCCCAAATAAGGACATTGGGGATGTTGGAGTTAGCATATTGGAGCCATCACACTATAAAGTTTAAGTCATGCAAACATCACCAATGGATGCTAATCTAGGGAGAGATTTTGATTTGGGACAAGATATTTGCATGATCTTGAAGTGTTTTCCCACAGATTACTTATTAGTTGCAAGAGAAAATGTAGTAATTTTTTGCCGGGTTTCTGTTCTAAAAGACTCAGGGGTCACTCCAGTTGAACTGGGCTGACTGGGCTGCATGAAATAACCACACAAGAGACACCTTTTTCTTTGGGGTTGCTGTGACGGCTCCTCTGACCTTAAGGGTCCGCAGGGAGAGAGAGAGAGAGAGAGAGAGAGAGAGAGAGAGAGAGAGAACACACTGACCCCTTTTATTGAGGAGAAACTATTCAAATGAGACAGGGGGTCAGGTTTCAGGGGCTGAGTCTATCTTCATGATGTCCACTGTCAGCAGGTTGACTGACACCTGGGTAGGCCACACCCAAGGGCACAGTAAGAGAAGGGGACACACACAAGGCACTTCCATGGAAGATTCTATCCTAAAGAGGGTAAGGGGTTATATTACAAAGGAACAGGTGAGCATAGCTCCACCTATGGGGCTATAGCAAGACACACCCATGCAGGAGACACTGACCCTCAAACCCAAGAAGGGTGGGGAAAGCTCTACCACATTTCTGTGACTGAGCACCTCAGCACCCAGCTGGGGAGTGTGACTCAGTCACGTGCAAGGTTGATCTCCCACAATTTTTAATTGGAGATATTGGACTATACTTTGGGATCAAAGTAGACTTTTTTTTTTTTTTAATTCAGATGAGATATTCAGAGAATTATATCACTTCTTTAGTTTTTCTGGCTGAGAAAGTATAACCTGAACTGAATCATCAGGAATCACCTGAGGAAACGTCAGACAAATCAAAATGGAAATGTTCTATTAATATAAAAGGCAGAGAGGAAATATTCTTCTAAAGTGTCAATGTTATAAAGGATACAGGAACATTGTGTGTTATAGACTTAAGGAAGATAAAGAAAAATAGCAATTAGTGCAATATCTGACTCTGGACTGGGTCCTGGATTGGAGGGAAGTAAATATTATAAAGGTCATTCTTAGGTTAATTGAACATGGCAGTAGATTAAAATATTAACCGATATTAAATTTACCAAGGTTGATCACTACCTTGTGGTTATGTAAGAGCATAATTATTCTTAGGAAATAATTTCTGAAGTATGTAGAGGTAAAGGGCCATGAAGTTTGAAACTTATGGTCATATGGCTCAGGGGAGAAACTCACATGGGTGTGGAGAGAGAAGTGAATGATTAAGTAAATGGGTTCAGTGATTCGTAGGTGAATCCAGATAAAAAGTACATGGATATTCTTTGTCCTATTATTATTTTACAATTTTTCTGAGCTTAAAATTATTTCCAAATTAAAAAATGTAACTGACTTAAAGAGGGAAAAAGAAGGTATGTAGAAATGATACAAGAGTTGTTTTACCACCTCAGTGTGACTTTTCTTGTGTGGTCACAAGACCTTGCCTATGGCAAATAAATAGTTTTATGATAGTGTCTCTGTCACTTAGCAAGCAAAACTATTTCTGTATCTGTTGGCTAAGAAAGCATATCTAGTGCAAGAAGGTTGAAACCATCATACCATTTATGTAGTGGAAGAGTTTGGGAAGGATGAATCATGGAGCTGAACTTAGATTTCCTCTTTGTTAACTTATTAGCTGAGTAGTGAGGGGACAGTTCCTTGACCTTTGGGAACTTTAGCTTCTGCATTTGAAGATAATACTTGTGTATTCTCAAGATCTTTAGCCTCCAATAAGAAAATGCACGTGAAGGCCCTTTGTAAATAATCATGACTTCTATAAATATTAAATTTACTGTGAATAATTTTGGTTAAAAATGGAAAATGTCTTAGACTAAGCTAGAGATTTTCCTTAATTTGGGTGGACTTCTCTCCTCTTAAAGGTCAAGTTTTTACTTGATTGATTAAATGAGTTTCTTTTCCCCATGGATACTTTGGTTCCTGTTGGTTGCCTCCTTTCTCATTTCCTGCCTTTATTTTTCTAGGCAAAGCTTCAGTGCCCGAGGAGGTTGTGGATTTTGAGTATCAAGAACAGTGAAGTTGGAGCTACCAGAGGATGTATGAAAGACGATGCAGGTAAGTTATATTCTGCATTTCACTCATTCTAGAAATACTCATGGGTCTGTAATCGCTTCTCTCTCTCTTTTTTTTTTTTTTTTTCTGAGATTGTATGTAAGGCTCTGAAGGGACAGAGTCTGCCTAGGGAATGACAGTATTTGTGGGAAGGTAGGGAAAAGAAATACAGAAGCTAGCTCTCCCATTGGAGGACACGAGAAATGCAGCTAGAGTGGGAGGAACACATAAACAAAGGGCAGAGGAGACTGTTTCAGTCCCCAAGGAAAGGTTACTGAAAGGCAGGTTCTGTTCTTTAATCATTTGGGGCAAGTCCTGTTCCTTTATATGGAATTGCTTTTGATTGAGGTTTTACCTGGAAGCTTGCACTCACCAAGTCTGCTGCCTTCTTTGCACCTGAGCAGTCTAAGGCCATTCTAGTGTGGTGCTGCTCAGGGTGCCAATTGGAATTAGATAAAGAGCTTGACCTAGAATGTAAGAGCCAGCTGAACTAAGTAGTGTTTATAGTGTCATCGCCGATTTCCATACTAGCATGATTACTGTGTGTGTGTATCTCCAAAAAATCTATTTCTTATATATATATTTTTTTAATGTGAGACTGGTCTTTTTCATATATGTTTTGCAACTTGCATTTTTCATTCAGTTGTGTTGTGAGATTTACTTTTGCATGCAATAGTAATAAATTAATTAAAAATTTTTTTTTGTTAAAGTTTGGTTTGGAGAGACTCTATCACAGTTTATCTGATGTCCCACTTCCCTGCAACATTTGATATTTTGTTGCCAGCCTGGTGGATATAGACAGTATATCATTGTCTCTTAATTTGTTTTTCTTGATTAATAGACTGAGCATCTTTCTTAAGTATTCTTTGAAGAACAAAGTTCAGGATTTTTAAGGTAGATAAATTTTTTTCTTGTATGTACAATGAATGCAGTTTGTTTTGCTTTTTTTTTTGAAATATAGTTTAACAATTTGTTTTAATTACATGCATATGGTCTGTTTTTTATTGCTAATCTTTTTTGGATTGAGGTTTTTGATGATTTGTGTATTTGCATTCTCATTCAATTTTCTTTTTTCTCTTCTGGCTTTGAAATGATACATTTTATTTCTGTTCTTCTAATGGTTATCCTGAAAGTACTGTGTGCACATTTGACAGTTTAGAAGTCCCTCAGTATGTGGTATTCTGTTTCCTTTCTAGGATAATACAGAACTCATAGGACAACTAACAAAGACTCACTCCTTCAGTACTTCAGATCTATTGTTTCACCATGCAAATTAGACAGTGGTATTGTTTCAAGTTGGTATTTGTTTATGTGTTTATCATTTCTTGCTTCTTTTCCCTTTTCCTATCTGCACCTTTATTCTGATTAGATTTGCCTTTTTCAGAATTTCTTTTTCTGGGAATCTCTTGTGGTAATATTTCTCAGTTTTGGTTTCTGTAATGTCTTTATTTCACTCTTACAGTTCTTAGTTGACAGTTACTTCTTCCTGGCATTGCGAACATCCTGTTCCATTGTGTTAATATGGTTTTTATTTTTACTCTTAGGGCATCTGTTAGTTTTCTTTTTGTCATTCTTTAGTAGATGATTTATCTTATTCTAATATTGTTTATTTGTCTTGGTAGTTTGTGGTTTTATTACATTATGTTTATGTATAGTTTTCTGTTTTTCATCCTGTTTTATATTTGCTTTGTTTTGTGTATCTGCAGATTCGTATCATTTATCAGTTCTGAAAATTTCTCATGCTATTAGTCTTTGAGTATTCTATATTTTCTCCATTCTCTCTCAATTTCCTCCTTCTGGTTTTGATTAAATGGATGTTAGAACTTTTTACTCTTCATGTCTTTCTATTTGATGTTTTATTTCTGCTTTGTTCTGGGTAATATTTAAGATTTGGCTTCTAATTCAAGAATTCTCTCTTCAACTGTATTGGATTTTCTATTTAGTCCATATATTAAATTTTAAATTTTAATGATTATGTTTTCTCATTTCTAAAGGCTCTATTTCTGTTTTAAATCTTTATTTTTGATGGTGGTCTCTCTTGGCCCATTTTTTTATTCCATGTTTCATATATTTAAATAACAGTAGAGTTGGAATTGTATCATATCCTAATTTTTTTTTAATTGTCAATGGACCTTTATTTTATTTATTTATATGTGGTGCTGAGAATCGAACCCAGTGCTTCACATATGCTAGGCAAGTGCTCTACCACTGAGCCACAACCCCAGCCCCCATATCCTAAATTTTTATAATACTGGTGTCTAAATCCCTGGTGGTCTAAATCTGTGTCTGTGCTTCTTTTCTACTGTGCATGTTGAGTTTAGATTAATTGCTAATATTTTGAGAATCTTGAGGTATTACTTGGGCTATGTATTGATTTGTACCAGGACCAGGAGGATGCTATGGACTGAGGACCACTTTTGTTTCCTATGGAATCCTGGTTTCAGGTTGGACTTTTCTCACCTTGCTAAATGCTAGAGATCTAGATGTCCCTGTCATTGGTGTGTTCAGAGTGGCCTCCAGAGCAGCTACAGCTTCTGTGCTCACTCCTTAGTGCTCTTTGCTCAGGCTTTAGTGCACTGCTCTTGCCATATTCTTGTGGGATTTGTTTCTCTGCCTGGAACTAATGATTGCATTGAAAGTTTCTAAAATTAATTTATCCAGAATCTAATTATAGGATAGCAGAAAGACCTGCAAATATCTAATCTACCATAATTACTGAATTAGGAGTGCCCAGGTGATTTTTAAAAAAWCAGTATTTTCTACATGCTTTTTGTTAGTTTACTTTAAACATTTTACACTTTTAATAATAAATTATTTTCCTTTATGTCACCCAAGTATAAGAAAATATTGAAATAGCAGTCTCTTTGAAAGCTTCCTAAACAACATCTGTATTCATACACTGTGTCCTTAAACTTTTGCTCAGGTTTTTTTTTTTTTTTTCTAGTTACTCTATTTAATATTTACTCCCTTGGAAATTGGAATTACCACTCTTGGAATAACTTGGAATAACTCATTATAACAGAGTACTTATTCAGCACAAATTTATTATGTCTCCCAATCTATTTTCTGTCAAAGTGTCATTTTTTGTTCTCTCCAAAATCCTAGATATAAAAGATTCAGTTGTGGCTCTCTGCCTGTGGATCTTTTCTTCTTCACATGGAATGCAGAAAATAGAAGTTTGCTTTTGTGAATTAGGCATTATCTCCGAGCAACATGTCTTCACATTATGTATCCCTTTAATAGGCACAGTGTGAAAGTTTTGGTCTATAGAATGTTAAATTGCCCTGGGCTCTGGCATATGAAAGAAAAATTTCAAAATGATTGACAGATGAGATTGCTGATTTAGTAGTTTTAAAATTTATTCTGTAGCAGAATAATCACATAAAGGCAACCACACAGGTGTGTGTGGATTCCATGATGAAAGAGATACATTAGTCATGTCTCTAATTTGCAAAATCTTTATGCTTTTTAGGTTATAGGTATGAAGTTTATAACACTAGTGTAATATTAGGAAAGCAAGTGCTATAAACATTTCTAGGAAATGCTGAGCTCTGTGACTAGAGGTGTTCTGAAGATGGCCTGGTATTGGCCATAGGCTTTCACATTGAAAAAAAATAAAACACCAGAAAGTTCTGTGACTTTTCCTCTTTTAGAGAGCAAATTCTACTGATGGTGGTTCCTTGCATCTGTGTCCTTTTATTCCTGGGTTTTTGTTGGCTGTCAGATCAGGCGTTCCTGCTGGGTTTTGCTTTCAAAATGGTCGTGTTAGCTGAGCACTCCAAAGGCTCCAAGCAGGGAGCTGGGAAAGCAAGGCACAGAACTGGAGCAGCTTCTCCAGGGAGCCGGGGCCAGCCCCTGTGTTGGGGGAGCCATCATTCACTAGTGTGCACTGCTTGGATAGGGAGGGGAGAGTCTGATCACCTCTGCTCTGTTTTTTTCGGCCTTGGCCAGGCAGTTTATTAGGCAGAGCAGGAGCTGGCCCTCTGAGAATCTTCCCATTCTCCTCTTTTTTTTTATGTGTCTCTTTGAAGATTGTGATTTGGATCCTTAGATGCCTGATTTTAATGGAGTTCACCTGAGTGCAATTTCTTTGCTACCATGAAGTTGTGATTCTGGTCAGAGAGACAGCCCAGGAATGCATTCTTTCAGATATCCTTGTTAAAATGAGTGGTCATGAATCTGCCTTTGGCCACTAGGCCCTGTCATCTACCCAGAGCAGTACTTTGCTGTGTGTGCTTCCTGTGTCTCAGAGCTTCAGTCCTTGTCACATTGCTGTAGAGTGAGATGGGGTTCTTATCTCTCTGCCTTGGTTCTGGAACACGTCACCATTTGTAACACTGTCCTCGTCTCTCTTACAAGGTAATAAATTGGTAAATTTTAATAAATTTTAAACACCTTCCTCTCCAACTTCTCCTCCTTCCTGCTCAGCAAATTCACCTCTGAATGCTTATTGTTGTACTCTTTATTTGATGTGTGCAAAAATGCCCATGAATTGATTTCCATTTTCCTCTGGTATAGTCCGGGTGTTCAGAGGTTGGCAGCATCGTGCAGAGGGAGCCATGTTAAGTTCATTGGTAGCAGACCACTGGGTTTCAAGTTGAAGGTCTCTTTAGTCTGTGTGACTCTGGTTAACCACTTAGCTTTTCTGAGTTTTACTTTTCCTGCCTAATAATGACTTAATCTGTTCATATGCTACAGTAGTGGCTCACAAATATTTTAGTTTTTAAGACATTTTTACATTCTTAAAAGTTATTGAGGATCCCAAAGAGCTTGGCTTATCTGGGTTATATCTAGCATATCATGATAGCAGAATCATGGCCCCTAAAGCTGCTATCCATGAGTCAGTCCCTGGAACCTGTTCATATGGTACCTTACATAGCAAAAGACATTACAGATGTGATTAAGTTAAGGATCTTGAGATGGGGAGAGTATTTTGAAATATTTGGTATATTTCTGAATAAGAGTTTAGAGGCAAGTGAAGTAAAGTCATGTAAGCTCTTGTA